GTTTCAGTCGTCGTATGTTTAGAATAATTTTGTGAGCTCTCTCTCTCGAACGCGCATTAGCATAGATTCAGTCCTAGTCTATAGCTTGTCGTATAATCGTTGTATTTGGTTATTTGTATTCGTTTGTTTGAGATTTATTAAATTATACTTATGTTTTATTTTATCAGAATGTCTCCTCAATTTATTCCGAATCAGATCGCAAACGCGTGTTAATCCACGTATAATAAGATTGATTAACTGGTGTCAAGGAATCCTGACGAACTTCTGAACTTCACAGTTCGGATCTGATTTTATACGCTCTCCTATGAAAACTTTTTAAGATCGGATCTTACGATTCGAAACTCGGAGAACTATTCTCACGGAATAGGCCGATTAAGTGGTACCAACGATCCTTAGTACCCCCGGCTGATCTCACATTTTCACTATTAAGAGATTAGGATTATTGGATGGCTGATCATTGTAGTCCATCATATTTTTATCAAATAATGAAGCACATAAAAGTTTATTTTAGCATTTATGATTATTATTATTTAATAAATAAAATGAAAATAGAGTGATACAAAAAAAATGTTATTATTTAATGGCAATTTTGTGTTTTTGACACTTGTAAGCTTGGCTTTGAAGCAACAGTTCTTGATCATGGTCTGGCTCTGGTTCCACTCAACATTCAATTTTTAGGTGCAGTTTTTCAATATAGGAGTAAATTATTCAAACCATTTTATTTTGTTAATTTATTTATAATCAGTTTTTATTACTTTATATAAATTTTATGTAAACAATAGAAATAGATCTTTTGATCACAAATAATATGTAATTTTACCATTATTCTCACATATATCAAGCTATCATTAATGAGATGGAAACAGTGGTATGCCATTATTGGAAGTGGTGGTCTTTGGACAGAGCTTTGATGAAGTTCTTCATTAGTCCCAACTTAATATGTAAAGGTGGGGGAAGAATTCATTGGGATTCTACTAGAGGAAGATGCTTGACATTCTTTTCTCTGGGATACAGATTTGGTCTTGGAGTCCAATCTTTTCAAATGTAGTGTAAAGATCTAGATCTGTAAATCTAAGATCTGTAATCTAAAAATCTAAAAATTGCTATGTACAATGCTGTAGTTCCGGGAAGTATTGAAAATACTCCAGACAATCAGTTGGGTAAAATGTGTGCGTGAGGACTTTACATAAACAACAACTTGAGTTGCGATTTGAAAAAAAGTTTTAATAATTGACAATATAACTAAACTTTTGCTAACTACTACTAGGTACAAGTAACAACACTCGTGACAATTAGTATAGTTTACAATTATTTTTACAGATGCAGGTCCCTCATTGAATCTCCTTAGTACGAGAACGAAAGTTTCACCTTGTATTCCGGAGTCCGCTTACAATAAGTTCAGCCACGTGGTTCCCTGATTAGCTCAGAGAACAAAAATAATTATCTTATTCGGGTATGTACCCAAACCACACCGTCTAATGATATAAATAAATTATCTTGATGTATAACTCACGACGATGCGATTAGATTGCTTCCTGGGTGATTTTCTGTCCCTTTGTCCAAACTGAATCATGTCCTTACTTTCTTCTATCTCACTCTTTGCTCCAACACACCTCTGCACACCTGACCCAAGTTCCGGTTAGGAAAAAAGATGGTTCCTCCACACATGGGATGACAATTTATACGTCCCGCCATCATGCTACGTCACCTTCTTTACGTGATCACCGCACAGCCAATTGTTACATGGCGGTGGTGCCACCAAAAAAAGGCGGTTCAGACAGAACGGAAAATTAATAAAATATCAATTACACAATTACAATTTCAGGCATGGAATAACGAAACTTATTACACAAAGGGTATAACATACAAAAACCGAAAACATAAAGTATAGTGACGCAGCACTACAATGCCTAAGTATCTTGGGTCCAGACGGGAAGGGGTTCATGTAGCATAAATGAACAATACAAGCTAACTATCACTTCTAAGTTCTGTAATTAGATTTAGCGAATTGAAAACTATAGTTAAAGTACATTTTCATGTAAAAGGAAATTTTGATGTAGACCAGTGTTATTTAATTTAACTTTTATGTATAAAAGATATTGAAAGAATTTTGTTAACATTTGATAAATATAAACTAACATTTATCTCAGATCTTCAATGAAACATATTTAAATTTTATTTTCAGTAAATTTAACTTTTATAGTGTTGATACCATTTTATTGATTGATTATTGAAACAAGTTCTATATTTGTTCCGTAGAAATAATCCATATTTCCAGGAATATAGAATATAGAACCATTGTATAATTAAATTTTGAGTAGCCATACTAAATTTGTTTAAAGTAGTTAGTAGGTAACTTAAAGTACTATTTATTGTTTAGATCTATGTGATTGTTGTTTTTAAATCTTAAAAAAAATTTTTAGAAAAATTTAAATATTCTTAAATTAAGTTTTTAATTTGTATTAATCTCATTCCAAAAATGAAACTGTACAAATAAAGTTGTTTAAAAATTATTATTTGTGATATTATTCATAAATTTAAAATTTTATGTTATATTTAAAATGAACTAAGAAAATAAGTTATTAAAATTATTTTTAAAAATTTATTGAACAATTTTATATTTTTAATTTATAAAAAAATAATTTTTTAAATGAAAAAGCTAATATTATAATATTTTTATATCAGTAATGAGTTTAGTAGAGTGGTTGCTGAAGAATATCTGAAGTACTTTGATTTTGTTTCGGATTCCTTGGATACAGCACTGCGAAAATTTCTCAAAAAATTTTGTTTAATTGGAGAAACACAGGAGAGAGAGAGAGTATTGCTGCATTTCTCAAAACGTTATCTTGACTGTAATCCTGGCATATATCGGTCTCAAGGTAAATTTTTTGAAAAGTAGAAGTAATTATTATGTTAGTCTATTTCTGAAAATTTATATAAAATGAATATAAAAATGATTTATTATGATGAAAAGTAAAGTATAATAGAAGTAAATTCTTAAGTAAATTATTTTTTAAAACAGATGCAGCCCATACCCTTACCTGTGCTTTGATGTTACTTAATTCAGACCTTCATGGAGAGGTAGACGGTACTTACTAACAGAATTAATTACTAATATAATTAGTGTCTAAAAGAAATTATATTTAACAAAATCCTTAAAAAATTAATATCTTAAGATTTCCACAGTAATTTTAACATTTTATTATTTCTGTAGGTATTAATAGAAATCTTACTAATATAATAATTATAAATTTAATCATTTACTTTAAAGAAGAGTGTTAGATCTTATGATAATCATGTACTGTAATCTCCATTTCACTCAGTAAATTTAGAAAAATTTTTGGCACTCTTCTACTTTGTTATCCACATGTGACATGATATTGTTCGCAACATTTGTGCATGCCATGTCATGTCAAAGCAAAGGGCATATGCTCAGTGTCATTTTTAGTATTGAGAGTAAAGATTTTTTAACCTCCAAGCTCTAGAATGAACTCATCAGAAAAAGGGTTTTATTTTGAGGATTTATGAAAAAAGGGGGCTTTGAATTTTTGGGGGGAATAATTTGATAAAGAAAATAGTAAACATATGAAAAAATCCCAGAAGCTGGAAAATAATATAAATACTTACAGACATCTTACAGAAATGCAAATACTGGTACCTTTAATACTGGTACCAATAATTTGCATTTATTGGAAAAAATGAATGTTTTTGATCACTTTCAGAGATCATCACATTATTATATGTTTCCATAAATTGAATGCTATTAGTCACAAAAAGTAAGACTTCTTTAAAATTATTGAATGTTGATAATCAAATTTTCAAAGAATACTTTGAACTTTCTAATCATCTTGGTCTAATAAATTAAAATGAAAGTGAACCTGAAGATGGGCTAAATTAGACTGAAACTATTTGTTATAGAAAAACTTATGCTGGTAACAATGTATTTGATATGTAAATGTTTAAAATAATTTGAGCCAGTTTTAATTTATTAAAATTCAATTTTTCTCTCTCTCTTAACTGTTCATATGGAAGTTTTAGCATACTGATCTCCAATTCAACAACCAGTATTGGTTACATGAATCAACCCACTGAGCAGATGAATATTCTGGTACCTTGATATGATGGCCAGGAGACATTCACAGTTGGCAAGTATAGAAAAGACATGGTTGTTGGGATCAAGTTTAGTTGAAGAGTAAAGCGTAGGGCCTGACGAATCTGTTGGTGGTGAGAATAGACTATCCAGTAGTGAGATGTCTCTTCTTCCCACAGTATTGGCAGGTTGGAAAGGACGAGATTCTGTAAATAAAAATGAATTAAGTGGAACTGTCTTCATACATAGACAGTACAGCAGCATCTCCAACTGACATGATATGCAGTGTTCATAAGTTCAATGTTAGAAGGGTTCTAGGTGGTCTCAGCCCTTGTTTTAAAGCATAGTTAACCATGTCTTGGTCAGGAGGTACCTTCTCTGTTGGTGGATGGCTCTCAGGAGATCGATTACATGGGAAGCTATCCTGTCAGAAAAGCAGAATATTGTCCCAATTGGGCTGTGCTGTCTTGAAGGGATATCTAAGAGATACCAAATAGTGTGTAAAAGAGGATGATAGAAGACAATTCATGCTTCTGGGTTGATTATTAGAGTTGGTGAAGATTGAGACATCTGAACCAGCACTTTAAGAACAAAATGACTGTCCATAATGATAATTATTGGCCAACTAAGTCATCCCAACTGGAGAGCTTTGTAGATTTTCAGTGCTTCCACTATATAGATGCTGTGCTGGAGATCAACTTCAAATGGGGACTTGGCTGCATTGGTCCCCATCATCAGCCAAACAGGCCATCTGCTCTGTTTGGCTGATGATAGAGATGTGAACACCTTTAGAACACCTTTAGAGCATTTAATTTATGGAAATATACAACCTGATAAAGATCTCTGAAAGTGATTTAAACATTTGGTTTTTTTTTCAATAAACATATCTTCTGGAACCAGTATAGAAAGTGTCTGTGAATATAGTAGGCATATATTTCAGTTCTACAAAATAAGTTAAATAAATTATCAGTTAAGGATAACAAAATAGACATTATTAGCTCTGTTTTGTTATCAGGTCTAATTATATACTAGACCTAGAGAATAAATTAACAAACTGGATAACAAAACATTCTTATTCATCTGCATTGTTATCCATCTATTTACATTACATACTTCACTTAAATAAAAAAGAATCAAAGTGGATAACAACATCCAGTGGCATGCAGTCACTATTTTCCAAAGGGACCAGATGTGAGAAAACTCATTTTTCACACATTAACCTATAACAATTATTATTTAAGCACCTAGAAAAAAACTCATTTGAATTGACAAAAACAATTTTCACTTCACACCAAGAATGTTATATGGGAGAGAAATTACATCTAACTGATGTTAAAAACATGTATTTATTAAAAATTGTGAGTACTTTTGAAGACATACAGCCTTCATCATCAAGCAAAAATTGAACACAAATTTTTATTGAATATTTGATATTCCAATCTTGTGCCTTTACTGAATTTAAAAAGAAATGTTGCAGTTATGTTTTATTCTTATGTTTAAAATTTGTTTTTGATTTTTGCCTGATGATGAAGTCTGTATGTCTTTGAAAGTACTTGCAATTTTAATAAATATATGTTTTTTATGTTGATTAGGTATGATTTCTCTCCCAAATTCATTTTATTCACACATTATTGACATACTAATTTTTTAATTTTATTTTGTGAAAAAAAGGCACAGTAAGTTTTCACAATCTTTAATCAAAGCATTTTCAATTGAAAACAAGGAAAGCTGGAAAAGAATTTGTTTTAATATAGAAAATGTAGAAGTGCTCACTGGGATGGTGCATACAAGACAGCAGAGTTTGTATGTTTCTACATATGCTTCTTCAGCTAACTCAATCCATTTCAGGAAACTTATAATTTCAGTCAGTGTTTTATTTGAGAAATCTGACATTCTGTAGACTGCCATTAACTCGCTTCTCAAATTTTCAAAATTGAGCATATCTTATAATTAGATTTCAAAGAAGAAAATAAGTCTTTGGGAAACATGGTTTTAAATGAATGAAATTTTCAGTTAATTCCAGAAACTGAAGTTTTTCAGATTGTTAAATCTTACTTGCATCTGACCAACGATTGTATCAAAAATCTTATTGTAGAGATGTAAGTATTTCATTCTAGTGTTTTCTAATTAATTTTCTCTGTGACACTTTCCCAGTGGTTCAATATTATGTTTTTATTTCACATTTACATAAACTATTTAGAAGTTATTTTGAGCTATTTGGAGGGCAGAAATTGTTTCTTTCACTTTCTCAATACTATATTTAATATTGTAAGTTTTACTCACTGTAATATGGTTGCTGTTTACTCAGTTTCTATGTATAACATCTTTTTAATCCAAAAAACAAGTTTGGTAGACGATCTCACAGCTTTCTGGTTAGAAACAGCTTTATTTTGTAAATTGGACTATAAATGCATTTCAGGTTGGTTTAAGTTCTCAACCTCTCTTCAGTGCTGTACGAAAAAATAACAATATAATTAGGGGCATGACATTACTCAGATATCGCAAAAATAGATTTTTTATATGACAAACCACTTAAATATCATATAAAGACATAAATTGAATTTTCTTTTTTCCACAATTGTATCTTCCATGAATATACACAACAGTCTACTATTTTACATAAAAAATTTTTATAAAATAAATTACAATGGCTTAACACACTTAATTACATAAAAATATACAATTCTATCTAAAAATTTCTTAAACTTACATATTATTTTTCCATTATTCAATACACTTAAAGTGGGTGCATTTCAGTTCTCCCAAGTGAAGACTGTATAAGTGTTAATATAATATAATATATAACATACTGTAATTTAAAATTGTTAAAAATTAATTACTATACAGTTAAATTCTTGAACAACAATGACATATAAAGACATACCAACTAAAGATGTTATCCAGTAATTCTAATTTATCCGAACAAATTGTACAATGGATCTTGGACTGTGCTTTTATTACTATGCTTAACGTGTTGAAGTGCCCTCTATTAATCTGTACCATTGAGGGTCAATTAACATACCATCTGAAATATTAACTAAATTTTCTTTGGTACACTCACACAAAAAATAAAAAAATGTCAAATTAATAGAAGTAATATAAAAATTTTGCATTTAGCAAAAGATGCTTATAAAAAGAAAATTCAAGGAACATGTAGAAATAAGAAAACATCCCAAAGAAAATTTAGTTAATATTTCAGATGGTATGTTAATTGACCCTCAGTGGTACAGATTAATAGAGGGTGCTTCAACACGTTAAGCATAGTAATAAAAGCACAGTAACTGGTACAGTGTCGACTACNAGTCTAGTCTATCTCGCTTTTAAACATATTTCACAAACTGAATTAAATGAGTCACAATCAGATTTATTCAGATTCATTCCACTTGACAAATTGATTAGTTTTTTATATTACTTAAGTGCCCTACTTTTCTATGCCAGTTGTCAGCGATTTTGTTTTCCTCTGTCAGATGCACCTTTTCTTCATTCAGTCTTATAACATACATTCCATTTTCATTCTTTGTTCCTTGGAGCACTTTTATACTGTCCTTTGATATAACAATATTTTCCTTTGTAAAGGTAACTTCAAAGTTGTTAATTGTGATTGTATTAATGAATATCAAGTTTCTACACATATAGTGTAGAAACTTGTGATTAGGCACATACAGTGTATTATTCAACATCCTTATGTAGAAAAGTGGATAAAAGTATGTAGAATATGGGAAAAAATATATTTTAATAATATTTACAGTATTTTTCTTCTTATTAATTAAAAAACGGACTTTATTTTAAAAATAGCTCACGTAGTTTATCTAAGTAATTAATTTGTCCATTTTTCTCTTCTTCTATATCAAATTGAATATCTTTGTTGATGTTGATGATATTAAGGATAATTTTCTCATCTGTTATTTCATTCTTGTGTATCAGTAAATAATCATCAGCATATCTCATTACAATTCTTATACCAGGGATATTATTAATTTTTTCATCAATA